TGAATCTGTAAATTACTTGGGCAGTATGGCCATTTTAACAATACTGATCATCCCTATCCATGAGCATGAAATGCTTCCATTTGCTTTTGTCATCTCTGATTTCCTTGAGCAGTGGTTTATAATTCTTGTTGTAGAGATGTTTCACATCCGTGGTTAGCTGTATTCCTAGGTATTTTATTCTTTTTGTGGCTGTTACAATGTATTATTTTAAACACACACAGCTTAAATAACCTGATTTTCACCCCCATTTGGAAAAGGAAGAAAATTAATATGCACATAGATTTTTTTTTTCTACTTCAGATTTTCCAGCAAATAATTCTTTTTTTTTTTTTGAGATGGAGTTTCGCTCTTGTTACCCAGGCTGGCGTGCAATGGCGTGATTTCGGCTCACCGCAACCTCCGCCTCCTGGGTTCAGGCAATTCTCCTGTCTCCGCCTCCTGAGTAGCTGGGATTATTACAGGCATGCGCCACCGTGCCCAGCTAATTTTTTGTATTTTTAGTAGAGACGGGATTTCACCATGTTGACCAGGAGGGTCTCGATCTTTTGACCTCGTGATCCACCCGCCTCAGCCTCCCAAAGTGCTGGGATTACAGACTTGAGCCACCGCGCCCAGCCCTCCAGCAAATATTCTTAAACCTACATGTCTATTAATCAAACATCACATAAGAATACCTACCCTGTGCTCATCTGTCAGGAGCTGATTTTTTCTCTGCATTCTTATTCCTCATTTTTTTTTATTAATTAATTTAACAGACACTACTTAGAGCCTGCTTTGTATTCAAGGGCTGTTCTAGGTACTGAAGACATCACCGGGATAAGACAAACAAGGTGCTATTCTCATGGAGTTTACATTCTACCACAGAGGGTAAGATCAAAAGACAATCAATAACCAGAAACAAATATTTCAGATAGCAATAACTCAAGAAAACACAGTACAGTAGAATGCTAGAGTAGCCTGGAGGATCCCTTTAGGTGGGTGAGATAGAAAAGTCTCCTTAGGAGGTAACATTTGTCTCAGATGGACAAGACTGCACCAGCCACTTGAAGAGCTGAGGGAACTGCAAGTACCAAGACCCTGAAACAGGAAAGCGTTTAGAAAATCCAAAGAATGTAAAGAAAGCATTCTATTTAGACATCGTGAATTGGAAGGAGGTGTTCTGAGATGAGGTCAGATAGTGAGTGAAGAACACATTTTTGCCAAGGACTCAGGCAGCTGCTTCAAGATTTATTCTTCCTTTGGAGTCGGCACAGAACCAGCCTATGAAACAAAGGCCAGTATTGACTCAGATACCAACACTTTTGTGGCCCCACAGATCTCTTTCATGTGTCTGAACGGTCCTTCAAGTCTTTACCTCCTGAGTCTTTATTACCTGAGTGGTTCACTTGGCTTTTTGACTTTCTGTCTTGCTCATTTTCTGTTTATCTTCCAGACCTATGGGCCCACTGCCTGGCTTCTGATCTGATACTTGCTCTGATCCTCACTATTGGTTTAGGCCTGGAGTCCACATAACCTGAGTGGTCTGAGTATTCAATCTTACAACAACTTTCTACTAATCCTTAATGGACTTTACAGTTTCCTTACCTGACTAGATACCAACACTGCTGCTATGTTACTACTTTTGTGAATATGTACAGTGGGGCCTCTGTATCTGTGGGTTCTGCATCCATGAATTAAATGAACCTCAGACAGAAAATACTTTGGGAAAAAACATTCCACCGAGTTCCAAAAAGTGAAACTTGAATTTGTCGCATGCAAAGTATTACACTGAATCCATACAAATAAACTGATGTGTGAGAATTGCGTTAGGTATTATAAGTAATCTAGAAATGATTTAAAGTACATGGGAGGATATGCATAGGTTATATGCAAATATGACACACCATTTTATATCAGGGACTTGGCATCTGCAGAATTTAGTACCTGAGAGGGTCTTGGGACCAATCCCCAATGGATACTGAGAGATGACTCTATTATGTTATCAGCTTTCAAAAACACTTCCAAATACTTTAGCACTCTTGATTGTGTCAACAATCTCCATGAAGTAGCTTTACAATTATTATTATTTCATTTTAAAGATAAGGAAATCTAAAGTCAAATGTAAGTGCCTGAGTACCCAGGAATCCTGCTTTCCAGTCTCCACGTTATTTGGGGGGTAAGGGAAGTCTAGTGCACTCTACGCATATGCAGAGACTAATTCCACAGATGGTCTGCTTATTATATGAATGCTGAAGACAAGGCACAAAGGAATTTAAGGTGAATAAAAAGGATTCTTTTTCTTTCTCCTTAACTGTTATCATACTTGTATATTTCAGTTCATTTTTCTTTTAATATTATGTTCTCAGACAACATTCACAGCCCCATACATACACTAGAACATAGTATAGAGATAGACTATTACAAATATATTACCAGTAAAAGAGGCAAAAAGAGAACAAGTGACTCATTTAATTGGTGAATTTGGGAGAAAAAACAGCATATTCAGCTAAACTGCTCTGAACTCTTTCTTTTGGCTACACCTAACCCCAAACACCATAGTTGGTAGATGTTGGATGGCATATATAGCTCTCATTCTAAAAGCTCAATGTCCTATGGTCTTTTTTTTTTTTTTTGAGATGAAGTGTGGCTCTGTTGCCCAAGCTGAAGTGCAGTGGTGTGATCTCGGCTCACTGCAACCTCCCCCTCCCGGGATCAAGCAATTCTATGCCTCAGCCTCCTGCGTAGCTGGGATTACAGGCACCCACCAGCATGCCTGGCTAATTTTTGTATTTTTAGTAGAGATGGGGTTTCACCATCTCGGCCAGGTCGGTCTTGAACACCTGATCTCGTGATCCAACTGCCTTGGCCTCCCAAAGTGCTAAGATAACAGGTGTGAGCCACTGCACCCGGCCTGGTCTCATTTTCAAGTATGTATCTTTCAGATAACCATTTTGTCAACATAGTACTATTAAAAAAATATCAGCATTTTCAGGTAAGTCTAAATAAGAGAGACAAGAGCGTGTCATCAAGAAACTAACAATTTCCTTACCGGTTCAATATTAATCAAAACACATAAATAACATTCTTAAAATGAATGGGAGAGTGAGAGAAGAGATTGAAAACCCTCAGGTGTCTTTAATCCTTCTAAAGTGGATCAGTTAGGTTCATCATAGCTTGTGTGTGGTAGCTTTGCGGTAGAATGATTTTCATACCATTCTTTAAAAATCCAAGGTTCTTATTAAGATGAAATTCTAGCTATTTCTATTAAAAATTTATGAACCTTTTCCAAGAAAACTGTTTTGACCTGTTGTTTCTGGCTAAATTTGTGGAAGTTCTTTTTTCCCACCCACTCCTGCACAGATCTTAGGAAAACATACTTTAATAGTTAGTGATCCAATGTCCTCAAACAAAAACAAAAACATCCAATTCTGCTTAAAGCACAAATTCACTTAAAGATGAATATTATAAAAAGCAAATGCAGTATGTTTTGAGGGATGTGTTGGACCTAGAGGACCATTTAGTGGATTGGAAGCAGTAATTCATGACTGAAAATAAATTTAGTAAAATATAATACAGTTAATCTACATAAACTCAAAAATTTCCAAACAGGAAAATAATTACTTATCTTTCTTAGCTTGTCTCCAGACAGACATATAATATCGTATAAACATCATGTGACTATGTATTCAACAGAGGATCTGGCCTGTCCTCCACCAACCCCACCTCTCACCTCTCCTAACATCTTTGGGACAGTAGGGGTACACCTCTGGAGGCTTGTGTACAAATACAGTACATCTGGACTGCTGCCAGCCAGGTGGTAAGCTTGCTGGGGAAAGGCTCTGGTGTTGATCAGTAAGCTTCTGCGTGGTTGAATTTTCTCTATGATGGGTGGGTGAGCTTAATTCAGGGGTCAAGTATTATAAATACCATTGTGACCTCACATCTAAGCTATAGCTTTTATTGGCAATAAAGCTGCCTCCATAATTTCCTTCTGGGAAATACTACAGTCTCTCTCTTAAGATATTTTCTTATATTCATCCAGATTTCTAAAGAATGATTTGACAATTCTACGATGTTATTGTCATTATTTTCTTTAAAAAACAAAAGATATTCAATATTTTTGCAAAAAGATATGGAAATACATTCGGTATCACAAAGATCATCTAGATGATAACTCTCAATCTTAGCTATAAGCACACAGATGACTCAAACAATAAAGGGAATCTCATATAAATATATCGCATTTGAAAATGTATTATACTTGATTAAAAATCCAAAGTTTTAAAGTTTATACCTTATAGTTTTCACTGAAACTTTAAATATTTTTTAAAAACCATGTTAATATATCCAAGAAAAAGTGTTCATACTTTTGTGCAAAATAAATTACATGTAGTTTCCTAGGCTGAAATCACATTATCATTTCATTAGCTTGTACTGGGGTGTGTGTGTGTGTGTGTGTGTGTGTGTTTGTAAAATAACATGCTACTGTGGCCATCGTTAAGACAGTGCCAACATAACTGGCTGAAAAGTGAAAAATTTAATCATGACAGTTTTACTTACATGTTTTCCTGATTAGACTAGTTGATTTGGCTTGGCAGTTTATATGCATTCATTATGTTGTTGTAAACAAAGGTATAGTATTATAATTATGTTCAAGTTAATAACTTTTCGTGTTTACAATAGTGAACTATTAAATATACAAAGTCAAAAATATTTAAAATTCAGACTAAAATCCACTAATTTCATCTCTGAAACAAATGTTACTGCCTTTTACATATTTTCACTATAGAGAATGGCATTTAAAGAGTATAGTCATATAATTTCAACAATATTTTTAAAAGATGGGAGGCTGGAGAGGAAGAAAATAAAAGAGATTCCTCTGCTGATAAAATGTTTTTACTTTTCCCAAAAGTATGCTAGTAAAACATGGGTATGTGTACACACACACACACACACACACACACACACACACACAGAACCTTGTCCCTCAACCAGACCTCCAAGATCCCCAATTTTATTACCTGTTTTTGAGCAGCACACTGAAGGTCATCTTATCCAGTCCCAGATAATTTGGCAGCAAGTTTGTCCAATTCCAGTTCCATTTTGTGATGGCTGACTGTTGATAAATGAGAAGACACTATTGTTAGTTATTAATCAGAGTTAATATGATCAGTAAATTAAAGCTCCAGCTGTGATAGACTAACTAAGAAGGAGGGGGGTCCAGAACAAGGACTTAGACAGATAACATCAATCATGACCACAGAAGAAGGTTTTTATTCCAATAAGACAGCAATTAATTTATAAATCCATTTGGGGATGTAGTCATTATTTATAAAAATATAAATCAATTTCTTGAGTCGTTATTCTTCCAAGTGTTAATGGCATTTGCCCAACAAGTTTCTCTGAGAAGGAGACTGCTTGAAAAGCAAAGCAAAATCATTGGCAACTTTTGCATATATCACATCAATTTTTTGTTTGATTTTCTTTTCAGCAACCAAAACTTTGATTAAAAAACAAACTTGGAAGTGCTAAGAATCAAATTATAAGATACAACTTAATTAGAGTGTGATATTAATGGTATCTTTTTAGTTAAGAAAATGCTTTAAAGGGAAGATTATGAGGATCTGTAAGTGTAAATTACATAAATGATTCTTTCTTCGCATTAAGAGAAATTTCACAAAGACTAAGGAGAAAAATTACTGTGAAGAATAATCTTATAATTCAGAACTCAATAAAATATGCCATTTATTTAAAGGAAGTAAGGAAAATTTAACAGCTACAGTAATTATTTATGGTTTGGAGCAATGTAATTCATAACATAAAAAAGGAGCCAATAAACTCAAACTTAAATAGTATATTTAAAGTATTATAAATGCTTATGCTCCTTAAAATGAAATAGTTTTGATAACAAGAGTCCAGACTGATGTTTAAAATCCAACAAGAGCTATCCCCTGTCACCTGCTGATTAATCGAGCACTACAATCCTGTCACAGAGCAGGAGAATTCTGCCCTGGGTTGTCAGCATTTGAAGGTCTTACTCCACTACAGTATTGATGAGTGTAGACTAGAGCTGTAACAGGCATGGTAAAAATATTATCTGCATGCTGAATTAGGCCATTGTTTTCATTCTTATTTTCATCAGAACTCTAGGTCAAGCAATCCTTCTCTTCTGCCCTGTTGGTTCAAATTGTCTGTCAAGAGGTTTCTGGGAAAAGCCACCAGAAGAATGAACAAAGCCAAAGCAACTTTAGATTTCAACTACTTTGGCAGAAAGATGATGTTTTCAGGGTATATACTAAAACATGTAGCTTAAACAATGGCACAATCTGACATTAAAAAATGTGCAGTGTTTATCACATTGACTTTATTCCAAATAGCCTGGCCTTAAAATCATTAACAAATTCATTTTAAATTTGGGAATGTGTCTATGGTTATAAAAAGAAAATTTACCCCATGCCACTTAAACCAGGAGCTCAGTGCTCTATTTATATATAATTAATTTTAACTATTTTCTAATTTGCCTGATACATTCATAAAGGTTGCAAGGTGTTTTGTGAGTGTGTGTATTGGGGCATGGGGGTGACAAGGGAGGAAAGGAATGTTAAAAAATAACTGCTTCTTCAGTCTTCTGTAGACACGGCCTAACAGATGTTTCCTCTGCCCATGGTACACTGACCTGGCCAAAAGTTAAGTTTTACAGACCAAACATATCTATCAGTTTGACAAATAAAAAGAAGGTAAAGAAACTTTTAAAAGTCAATTTGTACAGACCATGTACAAGGTCTTTTGCTTCCTACCAAAAAAGCTTATGAGTAAATACTCAAACACAAAGAAATTTTTTTCTTACTTAAAGAAACCACACATTTAAATTAAATTTACCATTTAATTTCCACATACCTGATCTAGCATGTGTTCACTAAATGCCTTATACACATGGAAAGGGTTAAAGGCAGAAGGCTGATCTTCCACACTCTTCAAGGTCGTCTTTAAAGGTCGGATGGGTAATGGCTTTTCCTCTGAACTATTCATAGAAAACAGCTGATCTTTTAAATATTCCTTCAAAGAAAAGAAATTACAAGTTGTGACGGTGAGAAGCAGACATTCTCTGTAAAAGTAAACTGATCAATATCCAAATTTATCCTTTCAGCACATTTGCTAGATTACAGTGTATTATTTGCCTCAGGGAAGAACACATTTTTAGAAGATACATAGCAAGTACCAGTCAGCATTGCAATAAACCCATCAAAAATAGGTTTACCTAATATATAGTATTGATTAGGAAACCATTTACCAAACTCTTATATAATGAATGTATGATTGATATATCAGGACCTTTTTAACAAGCATTGTCTTGTCACTGGTTCACATATTAACGTGTCTGGTTACCAAAACTTAACTCAGCTACATGATTAGTCACAGTACAAGATTGCTCATCCATTCATTAAGTGTAGTTGTTAACTACTCTAGGCTCATCAGAGCACTGAGTATTCTGATATTTTACTGCAAGCAGTCTCATTCAATGCAGAATTAATTATAATGCAAAATCCTAAACTTTATTTCCAACCCATAGACTGAAAAATATCAAGGTTCAATCGAAGCTCAAAATGTGTTATGATAAGCCCCCAACTGCCAGTGCAGGCCTGGGCAAAAAAGCCAATCTACAACATTATATTTCATTTTCCACCCATAAATAAATAAGGTGAACAATCCTAATGTATTTTATGGAACTTTTCCTGAAAGATGACAAATTAAAATGACTAAAAGTCTTCCATCAACTAATAAATGCTTACTATTAATAAATAAGTCATCTAATAGATTTAAAAAATATAAATGTTCTTGTGTGTCACAATGTAATTTTTTTCTTCAAGGTTAGGATTAGGATGAAGTTCATAATGTTAGCACCGAAAGGTCATCCAAAACACCTGTGCTACTCAAAGTCTGGGCACTGAATCAGAGTTAACCCTGACCTGGGAGCTTGTGAGAAAAGCAGAATCTTAGCCAGGTCCGGTGGCTCATGCCTGTAATCCCAACACTTTGGGAGGCCAAGATAGGTGGATCACAAGGTCAGCAGTTCCAGACCAGCCTGGCCAACATGGTGAAAACCTGTCTCTACTAAAAGTATAAAAATTAGCCAGGTGTTATGGCAAGCACTTATAATTCCAGCTACTTGGGAGGCTGAGGCAGGAGAATCTCTTGAACTTGGGAGGCAGAGGTTGTAGTGAGCTGAGATCATGCCACTGCACTCTAGCCTAAGTGACAGAGCAAGACTCCATCTCAAAAAAAAAAAAAAGAAGACGAAGAAAAGAAAATGAAAGTAGAATCTTGGACCCTATTGAATCAAAACCTGCCTGTTAACAAGAATTCCCACCTGGGCGCAGTGGCTCACACCTGTAATCCCAGCCCTTGGGAGACCAATGTGAGCAGATCATCTGAGGTTAGGAGTTCCAGACCAGGCTGGCCAATGTGGTGAAACCCTGTCTCTACTAAAAATACAAAAATTAGCCAGGTGTTGTGGCAGGAGCCTGTATTCCTAGCTACTTGGGAGGCTGAGGCAAGAGAATCACTTGAACCCGGGAGGCAGAGGTTGTAGTGAGCAGAGATCATGCCACTGCACTCCAGCCTGGGTGACAGAGAGACTCCGTCTCAAAAAAAAAAAAGAAAAGAATTCCCAGTAGATCTGTAGGCACAGGAAAGTTGAGAAACTCTAGCGTCAGACTTAATAGTTGGCGCTGAAAGATCAGGGGACAATCTTGAGATCACACAGAGGTGAGAGGTAGAGCTGTGGTGAGGAACCACTTTTGTCTGGTTTCAGTACACTGTGCTTTTTTCTGTGCCTCTATAACTTTATGAATGCCCATGTGTTAACTGTGAGGGGAAAATTTTAGATTATAAAACCCTAAAAATCGAAAGAAACCACCACTGAAGTTAATGATCATAGTTATTTCTTGAACTTGTTATAGAGCAGCAGTCCCCAATCTTTTTGGCACCAGAGACCAGTTTCCGGGAAGACAATTGTCCCATGGAAACGGATGGGGAGAGGTGGAATATGATTTTGGGATGAAACCATTCCACCTCAGATCATCAGGCATTAGATTCTCATAAGGAACACGCAACCTAAATCCCTCAAATGGTGCAGTTCACAATAGGGTTCATGCTCCTATTAGAAAATAATGCCACTGCTGATATGACAGTAGGCAGAACTCAGGTGGGAATGCCCACTGTCCTGCCACTCACCTCCTGCTGTATGGCCCAGCTCCTAACAGGCCACCAACTGGTAGAGGTCTGTGGCCCAGGGGTTGGGGACCCCTGTTGTAGAGCATATCTCTTTAGAAAGATTAATGATTTAGTGTCTGATAGAGGGTCATATGGACTCTTGCTAAATATTATTAATGATAAAGCCATCAGAAAATAATTTTATGCCTAACTTCAGATTATTGAACAGAAACAAAACTTTTCTCCATTATAATTTATACAAATACAATTTTTAAAAGGAATACTTTCTTCATTGACAAAAATACTTTGTTTTGATTAATAACAATCTGTCTTAACTGATTTCATCTTATGTAACTACATTTTGACTATTTCCACTATTCAAAAAAGAGCAACTGCTCTGTTGTAAATTGTGAAGAAAATGGAATTTTCTCCTTTGTTGATCTTTCTGGGTACTGCACTGACACTCATCACTAACCCTTCTTAAAAACCTCAGGTTCTTTAACTGTGACACTGCTTTAATCACATTCACCACTAACTGGGCCATATCTTTGGAAGATTTCCATTCTTTCTTGAACACCTTACCTGTACATTTACATCAAAGCTTATTCCTCTATTCATCATTTTTCCATTTCTCTTCACTGAAGAGTTTTGTTAGTCTGATGACCTCAACTACCACACTCACACAGACCAAATCTATATGCACGTTTGCTCTCATTTGTGCCCATGTGTATGGTTTATGCACCTGACAGTGATTACTTGATCATAACCTGAGAATGACCTTGTATGGCAGACACACTCGAATGTATTTTCAGAGTTCTAAGTTAAGGAATCTGAGAGGAGCCAACCTGAGATCCATTATTTATCTATGAGGAACCTGGCCCATCCCATGGTATTGGAGCCATACAGGGAATTGAGGCCCTCTGTTTGGGGTTAAATGAAGGTTTTCAGGAGGAGGTTCTTAGGTAGAGGGTGTTAAATAAAAATACTATATAAACTGCATGCCTCTTGCTAGTGGTTGTGGTTTTCCTGCCCGGCCCACTACCACAGGACTCCCTTCACTGTATATAAGCTCCCAATAAAACCCCATGTCTTGTTTGCCAGCACAAAGTCTCTTCAGTCTCTTGAACCTGGTGACATCCCCATTTAAGTCAACAGGGGATGTCACCAGGTTCAAGAGATGTGACACAACATTATTGTCAGGGCCTTAACTATAATGAGACATTTTTGCTTGAACATCTTATCTTTATCTCAAAGACAAAGCATTTTTAACCCCATTTTCCCTGATAACTTACTTGTCTCTATGAATGGCATACCCATTCTTCCCCTCAGCTAGGCCTGTACCCATAAATGCTTCACTAGTGATATTACAGTCTTCAGAAATATTTAGCAGCACATCTGAAGGTGCTGAAGACTCACAGCACTACTCATGAAATGTGCAAACATCACAATGCAATATCACTTACAGCATAGCAATACCTCACAGTAGAAAAGCAGTCATAAGTACTATACTAGTCACCTAGTCGTGGTATGTTGTTTGGGCTTATTGCCTGTGTTTTTGTAATAGTTACAAGGCAAAGTTCTTTCTTTGCTTCTAGCCTCATGTAACATTATGCCTTTTACCTTGCAGTGCCATGCCTCATTCAGCCCAGTAAACCACCCAATACTTAGCTCTATACCCCATCTGATGGACATTACTATAACAGTAAATATATTCAGTTGTTACAAAAGAAATCATATCACTGAGCAAAATGTGGTGATACCCTAGTGTATATCTCATGGTATCCTCTTCAGAACCACTACCTCAGAGTTATATGAACTCTATGGGGCAAGTACAGCCTTTGTCTTTCCAGAGTATAACCAGATAACTGATGGCCAATAAATATCCAGTTCAATTTTGGATGATCTTGCTTATTGGTGATTATTGAGCTTTTTAATATGCATCTTTAAAAATAGGACTATCCTATTAGTTTGGCAATTCATACCAACTTTACCATCCTCAGAGCTAATTGTAACACTGCTTAACTAAGGATATGGGGGTAACACTGCAACATCTGTTCCTCAGTAGTCGCCACAATGACTTTGGCCAATCTGAATGGCCAGGTGGACATACCAATGAGAAACATCACTTTACAATAGAAGTCTTTCAGTTTGCCAACCTGAACTGAGTTTCCCAAATAGAAACCCTAAGCAAGCTATGAGGGATCACTGACAAGAGTGAATAGGTTGTGTTACTTTGTAACAATTACAAACTGAGCTCTGTTGCCATAAGGACAGAGTTATATCTCATAGCTACAAATTTTTTACATCCTTCTGAGGCCATGATGGAATATACTGTTATATCACCTGTTTATTGACTGTTTGATTAGCTCTGTGAAATCCAGGAAACAAGATTTACTTGAAGTAACTTTCAGATAGCTAATGGTGGATAAAACATTTATGTAATCAAGTTGTAAAATGCTGTTGTCAAATTTAATTTATTCCTTGAAAATGTATGGTTACAAAGGCCTATGTTATTGAGATAAAATGAAAACACTATGTATCCACATTATACAATTTTTACTATTCCAAAAATTATATTCATGTGTTTGCAAATATAAACACAATTAGATGCCACATTCTAATTCAGACACATAAGATCAAATCCAAAATCTGATTAAGTCAGAGAACTTTGTTTCAAGTAAATAGGTGAGATAACATGCTATTTACATTTTTCACTGAAACAGCCAAAAACATGCAAAGTCAGAGGCTTAACTGAGCAAAGAGATAGAAAGGCGTAACATTGGTTCAACCAGTGTCTGTATTAATGAATTTTCCTAGGCTAATCTGGTTGCTCCTGGATATAGTTCAATATTCTTCTTAAGCTTTTTCATTAAAGAAAAAACCTCCAACTTCACTAACACAAGCATGATGTCTACAGGAAAAGAGCTAAGTCTCTTTTCAGAAAACTCATTTTACTAATACCGGATTTTAACATCACCTTAACAGTCACAAACACACAATTCCCAACTACACCTCTAGTCTACAATTCAGAACTGAACTGAGTTTATGAGCCGTGTTATTGTTTAAACCATATAAATAAAATCTACATTGTTTCAGTGAAGCTTTTTCTGTACAAATGCAGAACAGCCGGGGCTGAATAGACTCTATTAATAATGCAATATTGAGTTTGGTATTGACTTTAAGAAGTATTATCACCTCCTTGACTAACCCTTAGCTGCCAGCAGACGCTGCCTCAGGCCAGTACACACCTAATTGCTCGGTAAAAAGGCCGTTTCCCTACCTCATTGAGCTGCATGATGTGATAAATTTGCCTCAGGTACTCGCTGCCACCTGGTTTGTGGCAGAGATCCAGGACCATCATGTTTATTTTCTGCTCAGTCAGTTCAAGAGCAATATCTCCTTCTTGTGAGGTCTCGCTTTTCTCCATTGTCATAAATGCACTAAATACAAAGAAAGCATATACATATCAGTAGTGAAGAATTGTAAAGATGGAGAGTAATTACGGAGATTGAGTGCAGAGAGTTGATGTAAATCTCAGATTCAAAGCATCCATAAAGACTTCGCTGAAATAGGTAAGCCTTCCCAAACTGCTGCCGCTCACATAAACAGCACCATAGAATTAAGCACCTGAAAGCATTTTTTAAAATTGAATCGTTTCTTCTAAAACATGTCTTTATTGCATTTGTACTCCTATCTATAAAACATTTTCCCATTACTGCAATTGTTGAAATTGCTATAATCATGAGATGAAAACAAAACATTTCTTTTTAAGAACATGTAAGAAATAATTTGTATTTTCTCTTTGTGGATATAAAGTATCTTTGGTGCCTGAAATAGCTTTGGTATTTTGTCTTTTGTAGATTCCTTTTTACACCTGTTGCAGAACACATTGAAGACTAATTAAAGTGTCAAAAGGGGGAGCCTATTACGCTAAATATAGGCTAGGTGCTTCTTGGAGGGTGCTTACCACTGGGGATTTTAAATTGGCCTTTGACACTTGTTGCCTTTTAAAAATATGTCCCCCACTCCTGTTTCTTTCTGTAACAGATACTTAGCAAAAATCACTATCCTGATTATTCTTCCAGAAAAAGAGTCTACAATCACCACACCAGGAATGTTCAAGATACAGTTCTAAAACAATTCTTTTAGAAGGATCCATACACCTATTGTTGATTTTGAATATTATTTACATGGTAATAATGGATGACAAAAAGAATTAAAACATTTCAAACTATATCAATGCAAAAAATTATGATATTCAATGTACACATATATTCCACACTAATTTTCTTGTTATAATTGCTATAACAAGAAATATTGCACTTTGCAACGTAAGTATTAAGAAAATTCATGGTTTTCCACTGTTTCCAAGACTAAATAAAATTTACTGTGGTGTAATCAGCTGTATACTGCAGTTCATTACTGAGATTTTGCCATGATTATAAAATTAGTTCTGCTAAGCGTCAGTGCCACTGACCTGAAGACTGTACCAAATGACACCCAGCTGCTGGGCATTAACTTTGATATTGCTTCCACATGTAGCTTCAAAACATCCTCAAAAAAGGGAGGAACTTTAAGATCATATAGCCTTGCTAAAAAATAAAGAAAATCCTACTTTGACTTAGAGATATTCAGTAGCTAGAGTAAATTGCTTGTTTTTTTTTAAGCCATTTTTACAATAAAATACGTTTGCAGATATCTTTTTGAAGCTGCATACAGATTGCAAAAAAATTTCTTGTCAGGTTTTGTTGAGGCTGACATTGAAAAAGTTGAGGCCCTCTGACAAAGAAGTATCTCAGTGTCGGCTCCTGAATTGTATCCTTTCCTGTCCATCACTGTGCAGGTGAAGCAAATGATTGGATTCAGTCAATGCTATGATTAATGAGTTCCTCTCTGTATTTGGGACTGCCTATCAATCATGTCATTAGGGAGAATGTGCCCTGAAAGAGGCAGACCTTAGCCAAGGAATAACTGCATTAATCTTAATCTCTATATGCACCCAGCCAGCCAAGTCAGGGTCACCATGATGAAAAACAATAATCTTCAACTCGACAAATTACTTTGCAAAGACAGACATTTCTTTACTTTTTGTGCTGTGTGTTCTCCAGAATCTAAGTTGACTGTTTACAGCTTGAGTGTTACTACAAAGTGAAGGTTATTTTAATGAATAGTAATGCTTTCAGGGAGTATGCAAGACAGGCAACACTTACAGCTGCCACTTTCACCACTGCAGTTATTTTTACCATTTCCATAAAATCAAAGTTAAATCTGGATGCACGTGAAAAGGAAATCTAGCTAAATGGTATCAGGTAGTTCCAGTTAATCTTATATGTAATTAAGACTTAATTGATCTTAACAAAAACATTTTTGTTTAAATGCTTACATACTCATAAATTTTTTAAAATTAGGGTAAAACCAAGGCAACCCTCTACCTAATACAGACATCATGTTTTGAAATACATTTTTCTTCACAGTGTAGATCTATGAGTAAAATGACCACCAATTAGTGAGAAATACTTAGAGGTGGAGGTGCACTTGTTCAGATAATCAATTTGAAATCAAAGTCAAGAAGAAACACTCTTATAGTGCCCAAACTCTGGAAGAGATTGTTATCCAAAGCGAGTTAAGTCAAATTTAACTTTTCTTCAAATAAATGCAATAAATAACTTTAAAACTGCGCTTTTTTATTGGTATCATTTGAGAAATTGAGAAGGATGTAGCATCGTGCTAATTATATAATTACTCAGAAACTTTGAGGGTTGTAATGTATTTTTGAAGTCAGCAATTCTTCATTTTGTATGCATGTTGTAAGAGAGGTAAATAGTCTTTTGGCTCATTGTTAATTAGCCAAATATTAGCTAGAAAACATCCACTATAGGGGATACCAGATGTGTTGGGCCTGTTAAAACTTAAATTAAAATCAGCTTTTAAGGAAAACATTTAGCTTACAGATTCTTGTATGTAGCCTTCGGTATATTACATTGATTTAAATGAATTGCCTCTAGACATTGATTTAAATGAATCTTATTTGATATAGGCGCTCCTAAATCAGCAGTATCCTAAATTTAACTTTGTCACTATAATCAGATATACTATTTTTACTCTAGTTTTTCCTCTCCCCTTTACAACCACTGCCGTGGTTAATGACATCTGGCCTTAATTTTTTAGTCATTGGATTAAAGCCTGTAAATTAGTATTGAATGCAAATATAAAGATTAAGAAGGTCACTGTCAATGTTATTAAGCATTTGCCTGACTGCTACTGTTATTCTCACCCATGGGACACTCCAGAAGTACATTTCTAGAAGTCAGTACGATGAAACCAGGAAAATCATGATTACCTACTTTTTCCCAGTTTGATGAATATAAAGTCTTATAGATTAACATAGACAAGTAAACACTATTAGTTACTTTAATACTAACCAGTGAATGCAAAATATTTTAATAGAGTTTATACATAATAAATGCTTACTAGTTCCAAGCTTGATGCTAAGAACTCTATGAATGTTATTTAATTTTTCAACACAATTCTATCAGTATGGTACCATCGCTGAAACTGAGGCTTTGAGAGATTCAATAACTTGAAAAAGATGACCCTTTTATGAGGGATTTGTACTTGCCCATCTGAATCCAAAGCCTGACCTCTTTATCACTACCATGTTTTAGTAAGAGTAACCATATTTCAGGTGACTTTTAGTCATTTCAGGCAGAAAGTTATATTAGTATCTGCTAGCAACATGAATACATTTTAAAAGAATGAGGGACAGTGTGTATGGGTGTTTTTAAAACGGGCTGACAGTGATGTATAGACCATGTGAGCTGGAATTCCTTTATCAATATCATGTATTTCTGTATCTGAAGACTAATTTTAAGACAGGAGGACTCTATGTACATATTTAAATTCATCAGGGACCCTTAAAAATCTTTGCAGTACCACAAATCACTTAGCTCTTAGTGACAAACCTATGAGAAGGCTGACATTTTCATACAGAAACAGCTGGGTGTGTTTATAGCTGGAGTGTGATATGCCCTAGTTGCCCTCTGGGATTCTTACATTACCAGATGAAAAATGTGTACCTTTTTGACAATCAGGTACACAGAAAGCAATAAAAAGCCTTTTATATCCATTAATTCCTTCTTAATTTAATCTCCATGCCCAATCCATTTACAAAATGTTCCAGGCTATCCACTAGATACCTGTTTGCACACTGAAAAGGAGTGAAACTAAATTCTCCTGGGTTTAACTACCACCCTTTTAATCAGAAACCTTAAGACGGTGACTAAACAAGTATAATGTTCCAGTGTGTCAATGGGGTTCACATTTTAAGAAGACAAGAAATGTGCAACCATCCAATTTTTAATGGGATTCTTATCTTTTTTTATATTCATCAAGGCTCCCATGAATTTAGCAAAATACTAATGCTGCCCATCTGACAATATATTGTTGTTTATTGGTGATTTTGTTATTGTGAAAGCATCTGATGAAATCTAGTGAAAGAAAAACATCGCTTTACCATTCAGTGCCCAGTTTCCTTGCTTTCAACAATTGGCATTCAATCCAGTTGGGCTTCTGCTGCTCAATGCTCTGTATGACCTTTTGGATCATTTGATTAGGGATACTTGTCTGGTCTCCCATGATGCTTTCCAAACACATACAAATTAAACCCAGTTTTTCTTTACTCCATCTGTCAAGGGAGGCACCTGTTAAAAGTTCCACAGTGTTTCCGTCCTCAAATATCCGACATATAATTACAATCAAGTTCCAGACAAGCAGGCCAGCTTTCTTCAATTCAACAAAGTTTTTTGACATTTTTCTCTCAGACAGAAAAAAGAAGTATTTAATTGGGGGAGACAAACATGCAATCACCGTAGGTAACTTGCTGATTACAATAGATACTGCCTGAGCAGCAAGCCTTGTGAAGCCTGGGGAAGAAAAGAAAAGGTATGATTAATATTAGCATTTGCGTTCAATCATTGCATGGTTTTGTATTGTATAGGGATGTCTAATTTTTGTGGAGAAAACTGGCAAAAAAGATCAAGTGCTTGACATATTCCAACAGAACTCTAATAGGGGTCTCTGGCAGTCCTATCTAAAATTCCCCCAAATCACAAATCTGGTTGTTTTTTTTCTCTCAAAAATGAAGATTAGAAAATTTAGAGTTTTAATTTATATTCTTATCTTTCAAGACTGCAGCTTTCAAGAACCCAGATGGCCTCCTAATTAACAAATGCAAAGGTCCCCAGCTGGGCAGTTTTGTAGTCTTTGATACTTCTGACTACCCCTTAAGCCCTTCTCCTCCTTCCTTGGAATCCCTGACAGAATCATTCCAGCTCTTCTCAGGAATGGTTTCTCTCCTTGCAGTTCTCAACCCAAATGTCACCTCCTCAGATAGCCTTGCCTCACCGTCTCGTCTCATCTCATCTCATCTCATCTCATCTCATCTCATCTCATCTCATCTCATCTCATCTCATCTCATCTCATCTCATCTCATCATCTCATCTCGGTTCATTTTCACCCTTCCCATCACAGCCCAAGACTGTATCTTTTGGGAATTCCCATTTCGTTGCCTTTATTATAGCACTCCCCATCATCTATAAATTATGTCCTTTTCCTCCATACCCTTTGTTACTCCCTTCTAAACTGTAAGCTCTGGGAGGCATGCCTGTATCCCTAGCACTCAGTACCTCTTATATAATAGTTGTTGATAAATATTTGTCGAATGAATGAGTCAGTAAATTGGTTCCTGCTTGCCTCGAACTCTCCTCTTTGCTTCTTTGTGTCTTATGCTATTTCTATTTTCTACTAACACCTCTTAGATGTAGGTTCTTGCTAAGAAGTCCTCAGCCTTTTGGTTGATGATTCTACATGTTCTCCCTTGTTTGGTGCTATGTATTTGTTCTTCTCTAGATCAGGGTTTCTCAACTTCAGCACTATTGCCATTCTGGGCTGGATTATTCTTTGTTGTGAGGAGATGTACTACCTCCTGTAGGGTGTTTAGCTGAATCTATGGCCTCCACCCACTAGATGTCAGTAGCATCCCCCTCAGTGGTGACAACCAAAATGTCTTCAGGCATTGCCAAATGTCCCCTGGGAGCAAAGCTGTGTCTGGTTGGAAACCACTCTTCTACATGATTCCAGGATCTGAAATCTTGGGCTTTCTCCAAAGTTGTAGTCCTATAATTCCAGCTTTCTGTTAAGCATTCCACATCTGTGTCCTCATCACTGTCAACTCAATATAACTAAAAGCAAATTCATTGTCTTCCAAACTAGCTTGGCCCTTCTCCCTCCCTCTCATTTTTCCTCCTCCCTCCCTTTCTTCCTTCCTGTTAAATGTTCCTGTTGATCTTTCATAGCTAATCAGTGATCAGATAGTTCTACCCCTTTATTGCTGACATCTTGTTCCTGGGGCCAGGTGAGGTTACAGACCTAGACCATGCCCTTCTTCACAAATGGTACCTGGACTATGGAAGTATTTTCCTAACTCATCTCCCTTCTCCAGGCTATGTCCAGCCCTTCCCGTGCACTATAAAACTGAATTCATCCCTATGAACTTTCTTATCCAATTTCTCTATGAAAATTTTAGCTACTTACCACTGTTATGAGATCAGTCTCCTAAGCCTTGCTGTCAAAATACTCCACAGTCTAGCCTCAGCCTGTTTCCATGACCCTTTTCTTTAAGACCTTTAACATGCTTTATCCTCTTTGCTTTTAAACTTCTGAGTATCTCATTACTCTCAATGGAATGCCCTCTGTCTTCATGGTTCACAAATAAATCTTCAACTCTTAGTTCAAAGTCCTCTCCCATCTTGTGAATGTATTTGAATATATTATCTATATGACCATTTTGGTAATTAGGCCCATAATAGGCTATGTTGTGTCATTTTTGTATTATCATCTATTATTATTCATGTTATATCTTCATGAGTTGTCCTTAAGGCTAGCCTATAAACTCCAGAGCATGGGAAACAAAGCTCTTTGCTCGTTGATTATCCCACAGAGCCAGAGAGTGTTTTAATCCACTACATACATAATTGAAATTGGACATTAAAACTGAATGAGAAGCCAAAAGAGAGTAGCTCTGAGTTCTTTGGTAAAACATTCTTTACTGTTTTTGCTGAACAAAACTAACAGAACAATGTGAACATTTTCTGAAGATATGTGTAACATTTAAAAAGTCACTCTGTTCCAAAAAAGTACGAAGCTCTTGGAAAATATGTCTAATCTAGTGACTCCTCTGCAATCCATGACAACTTAAGAATCATTTTAAAAATTAATTGAAGCAGTCTTTATAAGTTTGTAAAAACTAGGTCCAACACATATTTGAATAATCTCCTAAGGCTGTTGCATTAAATAAGATCATAAATGTGAAAGCACCTAGTTCAGCACTTGATTAAAAAATAGTTACTCAATAAATGTTTTCTTTTTATTCAAATGAATGTGTTTAGCTGAGTCTTAAAATATAGATAAAGCAAATCTTCTTTAGTGTTCTTAAGTGATTTGAAATGTCTCATTGTTCTTTATGTATTTGTGTTTCATAGTCCCTAGTCTGCTGTCAGGTCTTAACTTGAAAGATTGTATCTTATATGCCCTCTGACTTAAAGAAAACATTTGACAATCTAAGTATATATTAAGTACAGATTACCAATTTTCTTCTTCATACCTACACTCTACTGATATTTTATAAACTCTGAGGACTACAGGTACTCAAATCCCCAGCTATTTCATTAACGCTTAAGGCAAATTTGAATCAGAACCTTTAGACTAATAACAAATTAATAAATTCAGTCTACTAATCTCAAGAGCTCTGTGTCTATGATGATGTCAACAACATACCAGAGAAGGATCTTTTGACTGCTACACACTTGTCTTTGTCTTTATTTAAATAAGTCGATTTCTGTCTAAGCCATATATTATGTAATATATTGTAAGTGTCCTCCAATTTTAGAGCTGATAAAGTATGAAGAAAATGTATGTCTTAGGACGAATGCAATATATGTATATTGATGTATTTGTCATTTCTTCTTTTCTGTAAAATACTACTGTAATAATATATTTGTGGTTGATAAAACGTGCAAAAAGGAAATTTACAATAAATGAGGTAAAGAAAATAATGTCAAAATTAATTTTTACAATCTTATTTCATAATGGTAGAAAAGATCAGTAACAATTTGTTGAATGAGGATAATGTTATTTAATATGATTTATTACTTTTAAAATCTAGGCTTAACACTTCATCATACAAAGGTCAAGTTCTAAGTTCAGTTTGTTTCAAGATCAGGTTTTCATGGCTTCATAGGTGAAAAAGCTACTATACAAACACATATAGGTCAACGTGAAACAAGTATATCCTTAGCTGTGTCCACAAAATCATAGCATTTATTTTTCAGTGTTAACTACCAAATAGGTGAAGGCTGTTGTTGAAATTTGACTAATAAATATCCATCATTTATTATGTCAATTCATTGTTCTTGCAAACAAATGGAAAATATTTTATTTTTCTATTTTTAAGAAAAGTATTCAAGAGTCACTGAAACTCTCCATTGGCTATATTTTACATCATGTTAGAAAATCCTAATTTTAAATTCTTAAGTGAACAGATATGATATTTTTGTAGGTGACACCGGTTCTTATAAAACCAATAGGCCTGTTTTTTATACATTATACTAATGACTTCTTATAGCATTTTGTGTATTTCTGCCATCAATTTCCTTCTCAACATGCTGTTTCTGCATGTGACCAATGGCATGGACACATTTTCCTAAATGATACTTGCTACTTCTGTTACCTCTCTCTAGAACTCATTGTTTCTGTTAAAACAATTACTCGGAAAGTTTTCCCATAAAGGATTATTTTCATTAAAAAAGTAATTTACTGTTGAGAAAATATCTTCTCAGGTGTATCTTTCATTTAATTTTTATCAAAGAAACAAAACAACTAGTTCTTTGTGTATTTGTTCTTTGAAATATAATGAAACAAATATCTAAAAGCAGAGCTATATCAGAACCATCCTAACTTCCATCCAACTCTCTGGAAAATGTACACTGTAATCTTTATTGTAATATTTATTTCTTTAAATCTTCAGTGTTTTTTAATGTCACAGTATTTGCCAATAAATAAAGAAATGCATTTTAGTTTGTTACCATAGTGGTTTCCATGTTCTGTCATTTTTACTGTGTCAAGAAGGACAAATATTCCCTTAGGTAGTGACTATTTGTCTTTTAGTAATTTAGATTTTTTAAAAGACTTTAAACATTTATAATTAGTTAAGCAAATTTTGTAAGAACCATGATTATATATCACTAAATTAAAGCATGGTAGAAAAAAAATACAGAAGTTTATCTTCATGTTTTGGATACTTAGTGTAGAAAATTTTTGTTTATCAAGATGACTCCAAACTATCTAATATCTCAAGGCTGAATACTGGCTTAGGAGGGATTCACATCTAACAAAATGTATGGGAAGCCATATTTCAAAATTTCAAATAGTTTCCTCACAATTCTTTTTTTTTGGCCAAATCTCTTGAAATCATCATTATTTTACAGTATGGCTGAGAAGAGCTCATATTAAGAATAGAAACAAGTGGGAGCTTTTTCATTTTGTCATGGTTTGCTCTTGATTGCATTTCCAGCACTACTAGTTTTAAACTGCAGTTGACTTACTGGTTTATAGGAAGATGTTAAAGTCACTTGTATGTATTATGAGGTTTAATTTTGTTACAAGTAGCATCTGTAATACAAAGGACAACTCTAATTCATTACTGTGTGCTGAAAGCTAAAGGAGGAATAAGGTCACCCTGTGCATGGCCTCTTCCCAAGAGCATGGTGCCCTGCTCTTCCCTCAAGCTTCCTCACATATTGTCCTCAACACACACTGGCTCACTCACAGACCAAGAAAGGTCTCCAGTGACAATCCCATGTGAAATTTTAGTGAAGTTTAATTTCTTTCTTTCTTCTTATATATCAAAAATATTGTACATCTCTTATTTGTACCCATTTTTAAACAGTTACACTAGTCTTCTGGCACCAAGAGGAGATGCTGTACACTTAGGTTTATCTCTGATCTGAAACACAGTGCCTGGTATGTAGTAAGTAGTGTCTCACTTAGTAAATTTCTATTGAATGAATAATGAAATTAATAAATGACTTAATGTCCAGCATGTGCACATTCTTTGTCTCATATTCTGTAGTGAAAATAAAATTTAAGAAGGGCCAGTCTAAAAGTCCCCATAGCATTTCAAAGGGTGGTAAAGAAGAAAAATGGGCAGGAGGCTGAGGCAGGAGAATTGCCTGAACCCAGGAGGCAGAGGTTGCGGTGAGCCAAGATCGCACCATTGCACTCCAGCCTGGGTAACAAGAGCGAAACTCCGTCTCAAAAAAAAGAAGAACAATGGCAATCTCTTATTGTCATATCCTCTCAAAATGCACAAAATGGTTTATAAAATCATTTTCTCCCATCACTTTCTTTTACATATTCATGGAATCTGACATTCCTTCCTGGTTGTTTTTATGTTGTATTCCTCTTAATGAGCATTTTATGAAAACTATTATTTAGTAAGGAAAACTCTAACAATTGGTATCTATAAGTAAGCATGTTTTGGAGTAAGAGGCTCTTTGCAATGGTATGGAGGAATTCCAAAGTGCTTAGAAAAAGCAAAATTGTTCATGAATAGAATGACTTGAAAGCCACAAGCAAAATAGTGCTACTCATATGGCATGATATGTTAACTATAAGTCATGCCTCCTGAATTGCTCCACACATACGAAATATACAAAAGCTAGAACAAAAGAGAGATGGCAACAACTCTTAGAAAAGAAAGAACTCTTAAGTAATGAAAAGGTGACATTTTCCAATTTCAATTAAATGGCTTTACTAGAGTCAAAGGGAGTTTAATAAGGCTTGGACAGTATTAAAGCATTACTATGAAAGGTCACAGATAGATAATTGATTTGAGTTTGTAACATAAGGTCACATTATTTAGGATCTCCATGGAGAAAAATGAAAGAAAGCCTAGACCCTTCAATTAACTTTAGTGAGTTCAGCTGGATATTTTATTGTTGACAGTGTCCTTAGAGTTAGAGAAAAAATATTTTCACTGACTCTAAGAAAACTTTCTCTAGTTTTTCTGGAGAAACTAGAAAACTAGAGAAAGTTTCCTTAGAAGTAGTGAAAATATTCTTCTTTAAGGATGAATATGAAAGAAAAAAGTTTTATTTTAAAAAATCAAAAGAAGATTCATGAATACAGGTACACAATATCCATTCAAAGGAATCTTGTGAAATTCTGGAAAAGTGGAAACATCTAGGTAGGGAGAAACTAAGAAAGAGAGGACTTGACTAATAAAATAAAGAAATCGTGTAGGTAACTGATGGTTCTTAAGTATACTTGGTGGATGCATTATTCTGAATAGGAACAATGCACTCAATTTAGAACCAGAGGTACTGGGGGGTGGAAAATACCATGTCAGAAAAATACATGTACTTACGAAACTGGGTGCTATTTTTGACCTAAAAGCTACAAATGTAGGTGTTTTAACAAAAGAAGGTAATAATTAGTGTTTGCAGGAAAAAAACTTAAAGAATAATTAAATGGCAATCCTCTCTAGAGTATGGATTTTAAGTTACTCAACAGATTTTAATAAAATTAGTCAAAATCATGTGACTCATCTGTGAATATTAGCCTGAACACAAAATATAACAGAAAATCCTGAACTGGTAGTTAAATAAGGAAGACCATTTGAATAATCTTCCATTCTAGTTTGCTTGATCATGTGGTTCACAGTAAAAATAAAAATAAACTTAAGGGTCCCAAATATACTTAGTGAAAGGAAGATTAATATAGTTCATGATTCTTATAACTTTTGGAATTTTACTTGATTGCATATCCTAGAAAATTGCTTCTTCAGGTGTATTTTCTTAAAGAGAAACAAGTATACTTACTTTTGCTTGATTCTTTCCTTGTAGTTTCTTTTGGACTATAATTCCATTCTTTTGGCATGCTCTCAAGCAAACAATCAGGAACACTGTGCTTATTTAGATTTGTCTCACAGTTTCTCCTAGAGTTCATCACAGATACTATCTGCTGTACAATGTCCTTGACGGCATCGGTCAGTGCCAATCTCAAGCATCGTATGATCTCTAGCTCGTGATCCACGCACGTTGAGACTTTAAAATCAGATGGCATATTATGGTTAGCAGAACCTAGCAAATCAGTTGTGCCTTGCTCAGCTAGAATTCAGTTTCATAATAATCTAGTTTAAAGCTACAGGAAAGGAGAGCTGCTTTTAACCAAGAAATCATATCATTGATAATCAGCCTATAAAACATTTTTTTAAAAAGTTTCTTCTTCTTGGTAATAAAAGAAATGGCAATAAGATAACAGTACATATATTTATTGGTAGTTTTGGACTCTTCTGATGAGAATATAAATTGTATGACCTTAGATGACAACTTGGCAATAATGTCAAAGCTTCAACATTTTACTTATCAGTTGACTCACATATTCCTTTCTATAGGACTTTTTCTAATTAAACATATATATGCAAAGGATAGAAGGAAAAACTAAAATCAATCAATGTTCAATAATAGGTGATTTGTATAAGTAGCTCTAGTATTTCTATCTACACAATAAAGCCACATATTGTGGCTATGCTCACCACTACACCACCAATGCAGCCTAAAGCCAGATATCGTGTAGTAAAAATAAAAGCAGGTTAGAAAACAGTATGATACCTTATTTTTATTAAAAATATATATCTATACACATATATAAAATAATTAAAAGATGTACTCTGTAATGTTAATGGTGATTATCAATGACTGATGGAATTTCAGGTCATTTTTTTCCTTCCTTTTTCCTTCTTTCCTTTCTTTCTTTTTTCATTACAAACGGTCAATCAATGCAGTGTTGAAATCTTACCAAGAGTTTCCTTATCAGCAAAATGTTGGAAATGGTCCCTAGATTGCCAAGACACATAGCATGGGAAAAATACAGTAGGCTAAAATCCATCTGCTAAATGCCCAAACTATTAATTCTACATTATTAGCATAAAGGAGAGAAGTGAGGGAGAAGATTATTTAAAATGATAATAATTTTTTATTATTGATTTTTATTATTATAGTTTGTTTCCATTTTTCATTTTAAATTAACAAATGAAAACAAAGAAACATAAAACTCAGAATCATATAACTTAAAGACTACCTGCATCATTATCTAATTAATTTTCAAAGGTTTCAAACCAACATTAAAATATAGAAACTTTAAGAGGCACCTCGGTGTCTTCATTTATAGAATGGTGAGGGGAGAGGGCGAGAAGGGCTGGACAAGATAATATTTATGGTCTTTGTCAGTTTTTGCCTTCCATGACTCTATTTAAGACTGTTAAGAAGAAAATAACAAATATGTCACAGCTGAGCACACACAAAGTTGAAAAGAACTGTGACTCTACTTCCTTTTACAACACAGTAATCAGGAGCCCTTAGAAACGGGCTAAATGAGGGTCCTAAATTGAGAATGTGCTTTAGGTCATAAGCAGCAATCCTAAGAATGATATAAAGCAGTTTTTATATGTTCACTAAGATACTAATTGTTTAATAATTTTTATCAGTATGATCTTTTAGACTTTTGGTAATAACAGATGTGGTGGGATTTCCAAAAAGAAACTTCATTATTTTTATTTTAAAATTCCTATAAGTTAGAAGAATCAGAACAAAGATAATTTTGTTGGAGTTTTTCAGGCTACTGCTAAGAAAGATGTTACATGCAATAAAGAGTAACCTAGTGTGGCTTTATAAAAGCAATGGAAACTACATCTGAATATTTCTAAGTAAAAAGGATTGGTCTAAATAATTATTCTATTAATATATTTACCAACCAGAAGTCATTCGATATAAGGTCTCCTGATAAATTATAAGTAACCTGGGAGTCAAAAGTAACAAAACATCATTGAAAATCTGCAAATACATTAGCATATTTTCCTGCTTTAGAAAATTACAGTTTATTTGATGCTTGATAACTTTAGGTGTTAGAAATGTAAAAATTTAATCTAGACAAGCTCTTGTCTAATTTTCTCAGTTTTTGAAGATAAAGACACTGACAGGAAGTGATAGATCAGACAATAGGTAGTAAGGCAAGGATGTATTCTATAGTTAGTCAGATCAAGCTGTGGTACTCACAGGGCTAGACTGTGGATGGCTTGGAGCAATCCACAGTCTCTACGTACACGCCATACCCAGCCACTCCGAATAAATGTAGCATCTAAGTTAGCAGCCAAGCTTCTGACTCTCCGTTTTCTACTTTTACTGCAGTATTTAAATAGTCCTCTACAAAGTGCTGGGGCACTTTAACCTGCCCTATTCTTAAATGAGACCAATCCTCCAGATTCTGTAATTGCTCTGCAATGTGCTAGAATTAGAGAAAATCTTACGTATATCTAAAATTGTCCATAGTCTATGGAGTAACATATGAATTCCCCAGTATCTCCAGCTTTAGATTCAAATTTCTTAAAATTTCAGAATTAGAAAGCCATTAATTTTAATGAAGGCATTGGCCTCCTCAGGCATGCTTTAAATATAAAATGTGGAGAAGCACTTCCAGAATGATGGAGTGAAGACCTGGGAAAATCTGCACCTCCATTAAAGTTATCAGAACACTGGCAAAAACTGTTAAAATAATTTTTTGAGAACTCTGGAAATTAACCACAGGCTTGCAACAATCCAAGGAGCATTTATTCAAGAAAATCAGCTGAATCTCAGTAAGAACAGTGAGCGTTGTGGCATTTTAACCTGCTCTCTTCCCAGCTCCCATTCCTCAGCAAGTTCTACTACATCCTTGAAAACAAGCAGCCTTGAAGCCATGGTAGTTATAAAAGCCTAGCAGCCACTGGAAGAGGCAGAGTATGTTCTGACCTATCCACATAGTCAATCCCAGTCTCCCAAATTGTCACTATTTGCCTTGTCTGGAATAAGCGCTGTTCACAATGCTTATTCTTATTCAAACAAACTCAGTGACTGAAAATGTTCTATCCCCAGGATGTTTTGTCAAAACAGTCAGCAGCAATGGTTTAACTCTGTGGCTGCCTGAGGTAGTAATTCTGGTGGCAAACAAGAAGCTAATTTTAAAAAAGAAAGAAAGAAAAACTGAGAAATGAGATGTGCATGTACATAATGGGGAGGAATTTTGAATATCTCTGCTATACTCCTTGGGATCTAGAAGGACACACACATACAGGACTGTGCACATATCCAAGAAAGTCCTGAGAAAGCCTTAATCTCTCACCTCTGACTAATCTGGAGGCTCTGTGCAAGCAGGATGTAAAGGCTAAGGAAGAGTTGCAAACTGTGTGTTGGGACATGCCTTCAATTCCTTGGTAGTTTACAATAATTCTACTCCTCAGTATAGACCTAAAAGAAGTTTTTTAAAATACTCACACAAAAACTTGTACGCTAATGTTCATACCAGCATTATTCATAACAGTCAAAAAGTGAAAACAACACCAATGCCCATCAACTGATGAATCAATAAGCAATATGTATATTTCCATATAATGGACTATTATTAAAAAATGAAATGGAGTTCTGATACATGATACAACATGGATGAACCTTGAAAATATTATACTAAGTGAAAGAAACCAGACACAAAATTCACATACTGTATGATTCAATTTATACAGAATGTCCAGAAATGGCAAAATATAGAGACAGAAAAGAAATTAGCAGTTGTCAGTAACTGGGGAGGGACTGTTAATGTGTACAGGATTTCTTTTTGGGGTGATTAAAATGGTCTAAAATTAAATGGTGCTGATGGTTTCACAGTTCTGTGAATCTACTAAAAACCTCTGAACGGTGATATTTTTACATTTAAAAGGATGAAATTTATGGTATATAAATTGTATTTTAATACATTTTTTTTTTTTTTTTTTGAGACGGAGTTTCGCTCTTGTTACCCAGGCTGGAGTGCAATGGCGTGATCTCGGCCCACCACAACCTCCACCCCCGGGGTTCAGGCAATTCTCCTGCCTCAGCCTCCTGAGTAGCTGGGATTACAGGCACATGCCACCGTGCCCAGCTAATTTTTTGTAATTTTTAGTAGAGACGGGGTTTCACCATGTTGACCAGGATGGTCTCGATCTGCCGACCTCGTGATCCACCCGCCTCGGCCTCCCAAAGTGCTGGGATTACAGGCTTGAGCCACCGCGCCCGGCCAATACATTTTTAATATAAATGCAATTGCCTCTAAAAGGACACACACACATTAAACATTTGTCATTAATATCATAATATGATTTAATTAGAGCAGGAGGTCAGAAGACTTTTTCCATAAATAGACACATAATAAATATTTTAAACTGTAAGACAGATGAACTTTGTTGCAACTACTCATCTTTACTGTGGAAGCACAGAATTATCCACAAAGAATACATAAGTGAATAAACATGGCAATTCCCATAAAGGTTTATTAACATGGTGGGTTGGATTTGGTCAAAAGGCAATGGTTGGCCAACTTCTAGTTTAAGTAGCCTAAAGGTTTTCCTTTGAGACTAGATGGGAGCTAGTCTGAGAGCTTTTGATGGTAAGAAGAAAGCAAGAGATAATTTTGGAGTATAAATTCCAGTGGAAAAAAGACAGGACTGGGTGGGATTTCCAACATAGAGTTTTTGTCCAACCAGAGTGAATCATTTTAAAATTTTTATTTTGTTATTATTACTTTATTTTATTATTTATTTATTTATTTGAGACAGAGTCTCTCTCTTGTTGCCCAGGCTGGAGTGCAATTGCATGATCTTGGCTCACTGCAACTTCTGCCTCCTGGGTTCAAGCGATTCTCCTGCCTCAGCCTCCCTAGTAGCTGAGATTACAGGCACCCACCACCACATCCAGCTAATTTGTGTGTGTTTGTGTGTGTGTGTGTATTTTTAGTAGAGATGGGGTTTCACCATGTTGGCCAGGCTGGTCTGGAACTCCTGACCTCAGTGATCTGCCTGCCTCGGCCTCCAAAAATGCTGGGATTACAGGCGTGAGCCACCATGCCTGGCCCAGGGTGAACCTTGTGCTGGGAAAGAACCAGAGGAAGAAAAGAGGCACAAACAGGAATTTGATGTAAAACATTTTTCACCATAGAGCACTGCATTAACTTAAAGAAGAACAGAAGAATGAATACTATG